CACCTCTCGAACCACCACTTTAAAGGGACTCCAACATTTTTGGGACATCCTGTATACATACACATGCGTACAAACATGGCCCGCAATTCTCTTTCGTATATATATACATATTTTTTTTTATAAATATTTATATACATGAAATTATACACCCCTGCCTTAGATTCCAGCTGGCACGGGTTAATGCTACGTAGCTCTTTACCTATCAATTATATTACACACGTACACACTCTTTTTTCTGTCCTCTGTCTATATTATATATATACATATATACAATTCCTACTGTTTCTATCTCTACATTAGCTTCTTCTTCTTTTACTTGGGACAAACCGTAGTATTCCCCCCTTTTTTTATACGTACCAAGACCATACTGTAATAACGCTGGTTGCACCGTGTGACATTATCGATATATGGTGTTGTTTTGGCTCCTGATAAGCGTGGTCACCCCCACACTCTCCCGTTCTCTTTCTTTTTCTTCCACCACTGAGTCTACGGGTGTCGTACTTTACGTATGCATTTATATGGAACAGTGATTCTTGACCATTTTGCTGTGAACGTTTGGTCAACAGATCTGATTAATTATTGTTTTTTGTAGTGTTTAATGTTAGTAATGGATAAAAATCGGTAAAGGAAGGAATTCAGTTCGAGAGGAGTATCAAATTAACACTCTAGTGCGTGAATTTTATTTTATTATGATAGAAATTATTTTTTAATTGTTTATACAGCCCAAAGTGTAATGAAATGGTTTTTTTTAATTTCCTAAGTAATAGCAGGACGTTGTATAATTATTAGACTGCGGATTTTATGTATATATGATGTACAATAATATAGAAGACACATAAAATACACATTATGTATGTCGAACATATTTTACGATTATTATAAGGATATTGTTCTTTCATTTTGAATAAGTGCACATATTTTTTGGTAATGTTCAGTATGTGTTTATTATATTAGTTTATATCGTAAATGTATAAAATCCGCAGGCTAATGATTATTCAATGTAACATGGTTCTTTTCGCGAAGTACACAAAAGTAACGCGACTGGATATCAAATACTGCTCCTTAAATGAAGATATACTCAATTTATATAATTTATAAATGTGTATTCCTTGATTTACAAATATATTTACATATACTCACATTAATACGTCCACCGGAACTACGCCATCAAAAACAGAATAGCCACAGCCTCTTCTATAAAACCCTTATCAACTTGAAAACTACTCTTTTCAATCTAGATTCTGTCCTCCATCAAAAGAAAAACCAAATACAGGCTCCAAACGTTTAAAATCCTTACATACTTAAACCGAGACTTCTATGAAACCAAATTCTTTCCTTTACACTTTCTTTCGTACTTTAAAACAACTCGGTATTAAATTCTCAACATAATAATTATCCAGGATTAAGAACTGTGCCAGGTTTCTCTCGAACGAGACCTAGCAGTCTTCTTTTAAGCTGAAGTGTGTCACGAGACGAAAAAGACTAAGAATGTTCTTTTAAACTAAAGTGTGCCACGAGATCGAAAAGACTGAGAGAATCTTCTTTAAAACTGTGTCGTGAGCAGGAAAAAGGTTAAGAACCACTGGTACACGAGGTTAGATTCGATCTCGTACAGATACGTTTGTACGTAACGCCCGGTATGTGGTAAATCCGAACACAGGGCCATCTCGAATTTTTGGCGCGCTGGACAGTTGCATTGGGGGCCCAAAAATTGAGGGACATCTGTGACACGAGTGTAGTTTTAAAAATTAATGTAAGCATTGGTCATTAATGGACTGCGGATTTTATGCATTTATGACACAAGCTAATATAGTAAATACATGCTAAATATAAACAGAATAATATTATAATTTTGAATAATATTATTGTATTAATTATATAATTCATTAAATGTACATTGTGTTTATTTTACTGTACGTCATCAATGCATAGAATCTACAATCTAGTCATTAAAATCTGTCGTTGTCTCTCGACTATATCGACGTGCGTTTCATTTGGCTTTCACTCATGTGTAAACTGTGAATTTCATGTATTTATGATACAAGGAAACATGGCAAATATAAATTAGTAAATAGAATGTTGTGAATTGATTTATTGAATGACCTGAGTAATTATTTATTCAAACAAATTATAAATACAGACATAATTAATAAATTAATAAGATTTTATTACTCATTCCTGGTTAGTGAACGTAACCAAAAGTTATATGCACTTATACAAAACGAAATATTAATATTACTATATTAATTAATAGAATATATTCTATAATGCATACATCATATGTAGTTCTTGTATGTTTAAATGTGTCAAATTTGCAATCTATTCATGTTTCTAAAGCATGACATCCTGAAGGCCATAAATTTCCAGAAAACTATAAAAGAATTTTCTGCGAAGAAATCTCGCAAACGTTTGTACTATTTCTTGTGGAAAGTAAAACCATATATTTCATTTGATCGACCATTTATATTTATATTCTCTGTGAGTTGTATAGTAAGGGCCCCCAATGCACTGATTTCTCCAGGGTCCCATAATGCTGTTAAGACAGCCCTATACATAAATACATACATATTAGATGTAAAAATTAATTCTGAGCCTCTATATCCAATTATTTATAACCTTAGTTTAAATGAACATACTTACTTGCTATTTTTTAAATTCTCAACCTGATTTCTATTACAATATCTATACACACGACTCAAGTTTCGACTTCATGATCATTGCAATGCATTTATACGAACATTAGTAGCCATCAAATTTTTCTTAGTCTTATTCCTCTACCATTACTTTAATTACCAAGCACACTTGTAATCTGTTAAAACAATAATATTAAGCAAAAATATGTGACTACAAATCTTCGTATATACATATAGGTACATTTATTGTAGTGATCACCAAGTTAAGACTTAGGTTATACATACAGGGTGTCCCAAAAATATTATAACACCTTGAAAGATGTGGTTCGGGAGGTGATTCGAAACAACTTTTTCCTCAGCGAAAATGTTGTACGAGGCTTCGTTATGAAGATAATAACGGAAAAACCCGACCAATCAGAACGCGAGTATATCGTTGGAGCGCCCGCAGTAGGCGTGGCTACGTGCTAGGCGGCCGCGCTCATACGCTGCCGTGGGCGCTTCAACGGTATACGCGCGCTCTGATTGGTCAGTACTTTCTCCGTTAATATCTCCTCAACGAAACCTCGGAAAACATTTTCGCTAAGGAAAAGGTTGTTTCAAATCACCTCCCGAACCACCTGTTTCAATGTGTTACAAACATTTTTGGGACACCCTGTATAATATATGCATAGATTCACCTACATGGCTAGTAATTTAACATATAGAATGATGATTAAATATTTCTGCTTAAACTAAAGTTATAAATGATTGAATGTAAAGGGACAAAATTAATTTCTACACTTGATACGTACATACTCGCGTAACGCGTGATATAATCGTTTTTTTTTCTCTCATCACATCCACCGCAATTGACCTCACGCAACTTGCAATGTCTTATAACCCTGTGTAACCGGTTCCATATGAGAGATACGAAAAACATCCTCTTGTCGGATGGACACGTTCGCTGAAAACACCCCAGAAGTCAGACTAGCGAACGACCAACTTCTACATACGGTAACCCATCTACAGACACTGACACGTATTACACAAAACACATGTACACACACGACCCTGTGCTAATTTCCCTGTAATTTTGTCACCAGTCCCTCTCGAACACCGATCGCCGGTTTCACATTGTTACCGTAGAGATCGTTTTACCGAAGCTTTCGTCGCCAGCCGCGGCGATACTTGTTTTCCGTGATCTACTCATTCGATGAATGAAATGTGCATCTATCTAGGTACATGTTTAAGGAAAATTTTGAGAATATTAAGGGGCAAGGAAAATTGTATGCAGCGTTTGGTATCCAAGGAAAGTTAACAATTCTTTGATAGAATATATATGGGTGTTTTTGGTAAAAGTTTGTTATTTTTAGGAGAATAGAGGAATTCCTTCGTGCTCGCGATATTGCTTTCTAGATTATACTGTTTTATATTATTCTATCTGTATCTTTAAATTTTATTATATTATATATGTATTATAATTTTTATTTTATTATTTTATTTCTATATTCAAATATTATTTTATAAATCGTATTAAGAAATGTGATCTAAATATGAATTTTATTTTATAAATCTATTTATAATTTCTTTCAATAAATTATTTATTTTATTCATTCAATAAATCAATTTAAAAAATTCTATTTAATAATCTCAATCAATTAATTATGGATATCTATTGATTTTATACGATATATTAATTATTTTAAAGTTCAATCAATCAATCTATAAAAGTCTATTTAATAAGTTGAATCACCTTTATATATAATATTAATCAGGTTCCATTCACATAATAATCTATGTTTTTATTCTGAGAATTATTATTTAACCATGTTCAATCGTGATTAAACAATTTCAATACATTTTTCACCAATCTTGTTTTCAATTTTATTGTATCTACGATGAAACAGATTCATGCCCATTAAAAAAAGAAAGAACTTTAACTGCATCCGGAAGTGGGCACGAAGAGATTTAACAAAATTTTAATTGGTTCTTAAAACAGAAATTATTAGATGCAAAACTCTCAGTCACCTAACAACTATTAACCCCTAAATTGAATTTATCAGATACAAAGATAGAACTCGTTACATTCCAGGACTGACGTTGAATAAAACTAGTACATCGAAACGACTTGGTTCAACATTCTTTAAATATTGACCCATGAAAGAAAAACAAGTTCGAAAATATTACCTCTCTTTGTTCTGAAATAAAGTTGCGAAATTCACACATTTGCAAGAATTGAAATAGACGTCGTGGAATAGGTTCGACAGCCTACCTCCTTAATAGCGATTCAATCAGAACACGCTCGAATCATTGTTGCTACTGTTTCGCAGTAGATCCCAATGCGTCCATTTATGAATTCAACGAATAATTGAGATGTAATTGACGCGCCTGGAACCGGCCAGCGACGAAAGCCGAGGATCCATCTAAACGCGACGTACGCTTGAAACCCGGAAACGTGTCAAGCGTGATCACGCGTTTCCGTCTGTTCTCTCCGATACCAATCCAGCCTCCGATCCTTGTGCCTCCCCGGTTTACTAATTTAGGGAATCTATTTGCAGCAGGGGGTTAGATTCGATCCTGATATGCCACAAACCATACGTTTGGAATTTGCAAAAAGTAACACAAAGGTTAGCAAACCCAAGCAACCAGCCGCTGCAGCAGCCACCTCGCACCCTGCTCTGATGCACCCTCTAACTGGACGTAAGTATGCACCGCCACTCGTTCACTTGCTGGATACGTCTCACTACTATTCTCACCCACTGCACCGACTACAACGTATATCTTCCTTCCTGTTGTTTCTCTCTCTGTCTCTTGTATCTTTTTTTTTTTTCAATTTTTTTTATACATACCCTGGCCCACCCACACGGTCCTCGAGTTGACCCCTTCGACTCTAGATCACCGAAAGAGCAAACAGAGATGTCGAAGTACGATTATGTCGATTCGGAGGAATTGTTGTAATGCCTGTCAACTAAGGAAACCTCCAGATGTTAGGGTTATTATGCTTCGAGGGTTGAATTACGTGAGTGGAATGTGTGACGAGGAACTTGAATTCGTGATCTTGCAAACATTGGTAGGTTCAGAATATCTAAAGATGATTTTAGGATTGCGTGTATAGAATTTGAATTTAACTGTGGATTGTGGTTTAACAGGTAATATTTTATTTATTTACAAATTAATGTAACCACTTTTAGTACCTGTAGGTTATTTTTAGATGGATAGAAACTATTAGACTAAGGATATTTATGCAGATTTATATGTATTATCACAGATATAGAAAACGAATTGAAAGTTAAATGAAAGTATGTCTTATCTTCTAAACGGTATGATATGTATGTTATTGTTACTATTTAATATAGTCTTTCGATTCTACATGTTTTCGTGAATTCACTCATATTTTCATTTGCCATAAATGCATAAACATCTGAAGTCTACATATAAGGTAAGGAAAAGCATAGGAACTCGTATATACAAATATATTTGGAATATGTTAAATGAAATGAATGTGTTATGTTGAGATCATAACACATGTTGGAACTAATATTTAGTAAACATCACATCAAGGGTGAATAATAAGTCAATTGTGCCTAATTATCAGTCTGAATCATCTATTTTACTTTCCCTTTGAAATAAACATAATTCAACAATCTATAAATATAAAATCAATGTTAAATATTTGAACAATTAACAAAAATATAGGGTGCAAACATAATAATATTAAAATTTGTAACGAAATAAAAAATTGTAGTAATAGTAAAAAATGAAAGATGTATACAAAATATACATAATATATTCTTATGTAGTATTATATATTACATAAAATATATAAAATGCATTACTTGTACTATGATCACATTCGAATATACAATAATAATATTGTCTTTTTGTATGATGTAATAAAGACGTTAGTATCGTTATTGCACCCATACAAAATGATCGAAATGAAATGAAATACGTACTGGAAGTTACGTTCACATATACACGAACCATTCTGTAACGGAAATTTTGCAACTGGTTTCTGGAAGAATGTTCGAAGTTCGTGTCAATGTTTACCATCGAGTAAAAACCCACGCGCGCGCGATATAAACGAGTCGCGGAAAAGTTATTTTAATTAGTGGAAGGATAGTACGGTTTCGTTACAGCATTACTTTCGCGATTTAAAATTGGCATACGAATGAACGTTACAATAGATATTAACATCAATTTAAACTACCAGAACGCTGTAAAACGAAATATTTCGTTGTTAAAGTTCCATCGAATTAATTATTGTACTTCCATCTCTGTTTGATCTTTTTACCATGCGTGGGCGTTAGGGTGGACCTTACGACGCGATCATCGAATTTTTCGCACGTTATCCCCTCCCCCCTCGAACAAATATATGCGTCAAAATTGAATTTTGGTGAAATTTGTAATCGGTGGGATGAAAAGATCACGTGGCGCAGTGGAGTTGAAAACTTCGAGCATTTAACAACATTTTTTAATAATATTTAATTATAGGTAATCGTTGATCTATCGTAAGGGAAGGATCTCGTGACGTCGCGTGTGGTTCCTGATTACACTAGTTTACAAAATAAAAAAAAAATGTACATTCAATGCCACAATTTTTTTCTTATGTATTTTGGCCTACTAAACTCGGAAATCGCAAGAAAAAATTGTTCTATGGATAGGTTTTTTTATATGAATATTTGAATTTTGTTCGATCTTTTTCTGACACACGTTCACATGTTAGGCCCTATCTCAAGTCAGAAACGTCCGATTGAGTCGCCCAAGATGCCATTTTAAAGGTAATCGAATTTCCAACAATTGCATTATTTTCCAATCGGTTCAATAGTTTAAGTGTTACGAGCCAATATATATGAGAAACTTCGATCTTTTCAGCTAAAATAGAACACGAATATTTGTTCCATCGCTATGGAAAAATAGAAATTGTCAAATTATGTCCAGTTTCTTATTGTTTACGTATAGATCTCACTTTTACGAAGAAAACAAGCTTTTGTTGAAGAAAATCTATGGATAAATACCGGAGTTAGGAACAATTGAGTAAAGGTACAAAAATTCCAATTTTACTCTGATTAACAATTTTTTTCCTGTTTATATAAGAAACATTTATTTAATTAATTTTTATTAGAAATAATTTCGGCCTTTACTTTGTCTTCTGTTATTCGTTGAGTTCGTTTCTCTGATGAGGAACCAAATGTAGTCTCCCAACATTCTTTCATCCCAATATCCTTGATAGCGCTACTGAATAGTTTAGGGCTTCTGGCTCAGCAAAGTATGAATTATAAGGAAGTTGTTGATGATTTGCTAATACATTATGCAAAAATGGGTATGAAATATATATTGTTGTTCTATTTGGTTTTTACAAAATGGAAAAAATTGTACATTCAATTTCAATCTTAATTTCAACAGACGTAAATATGTCGCTCAAAATTCATTTTTTACATTTTCACTTGTATTTTTTCCCGGAGAATCTTGGCGATGTAAATGATGAACACGGCGAAAGGTTTCACCAAAATATAAAAACTATTGAGCAGCGCTATCAAGGATATTGGGATGAAAGAATGTTGGGAGACTACATTTGGTTCCTCTTCAAAGAAACGAACCCAACGAATAACAGAAGACAAAGTAAAGGCCGAAATTATTTCTAATCGAAATTAATTAAATAAATGTTTCCGATATAAAGAGGAAAAAAATTTTTGATCAGAGTAAAATTGGAATTTTTGTACCTTTACTCAATTGTTCCTAACTCCGGTATTTATCCATAGATTTTCTTCAACAAAAGCTTGTTTTCTTCGTAAAAGTGCGATCTATACGTAAACAATAAGAAACTGGACATAATTTGACAATTTCCATATTTTCATGGCGATGGAAGAAATATTCGTGTTCTATTTTAGCCGAAAAAATCAATGTTTCTCATATATATTGGCTCGTAACACTTAAACGATTGAACCGATTGGAAAATAATGCAATTGTTGGAAATTCGATTACCTTTAAAATGGCATCTTGGGCGACTCAATCGGACGTTTCTGACTCGAGATATGGCCTAAAATGTGAACGTATGTCAGAAGAAAATCAAAAAAATTCAAAAATTCATAAAAAAACCTAACCTAAAAAAATTTTTTTTTACAATTTTTAAGTTTAGTATGTGAATGTACATTTTGGCTATAAACTAGTGTTCTACTTTGATCACTCCCTGGTCCTTCTGACCCTGGGCTGACCTCTGTCCACTACTGCTGACCACAGCCGACGCCATTCGACTACTGCTGGCGCATGCTGACCTCTCTTGACCATTGCCTATCACTAACTACTGATACATGCTGATCGACTGTGTCCATTGGCTACCACTGACCATGGTGACCACTGTTACCTTCTATATGACCACTGATTTTTGTTCTTTCGGCTTATATTTTCAATAGATTTTTGAGAAGTATATCCATTTTTTCCCTATAATTAACACTTTGCTGACCGGTCATGAAGTGTACTCGTGCTTTCATGCCCGAATATCGCGAGTTATAGTGGCGTGCAAAAATTTACGGACGGATAAATTGTCACTTTATATTCCGACAGCGATATCTAAAGTAATTTTAACCAATACGGTAGAGTTTCCCGTATCCGTACTAATTAGTAGACAGAAATGGTCGGATAATGGAACTTTTGGATAATAGAAGAATCATGGTTTTTTTATATTAAATTTTAGTTTATTTAAATAGGAATTAACAAAATTGAGAGTTTGTTTCAATATTAAAAGTCCTCATATTTTGTTCGCTGCTAAATCTCATAACCTCTTCCGTCAATATTATTTATAAATTTTACTCGTGTCACTTTTCCTTTGTAAAATTCGATATTCTTAGAACACATGATACGAATTTTTGTATATTATCAACCTGTGTTACTTTTCTAGCGGGGGTGCGGTATGAAAATAAAATTTGTTGTAGTGTTTAAATATATTTACTTTACATTCAATTTCGGAAAAGTAGGCGATCGCGCGGTATAGTTTTTACTTAAAATAGCAAGTCAGCAAGACGTTAAATATCGTTTGAGTGCTTTATAAAAATTTCCAAATTTTCAACTCGGATGCGCCTCGTAATCCTTTTATTTCATCAATTTCAAATTTTACCAAAATATTTTTCCATTAAAACTAATATTTTTAAGAGACGACACGCTTTGTACCTAAGAAAAAATATAGTTCACCAAGTATAGCTAAAGTCCACCCTAGTGGACATGTGTTCCTCCCCTCCATCATATTTTTTTGGGATACCTTGCGAAAACGATAGACGTCGATGGTTGCTCGATCGATCATTCATACCACTGATCAATCGATAGGGTGCATTTGAATGCGAACCAAGTTCGCAGAAATAAAAATATACCATTTTCATGAAAAGAGAAAAAGAAAAGAGGTGAACTCCCTCGTTCGTTTGCATGCGTGCGAGGCACGACTTAATTAAATTATTTCAAACACGAAAGAGAACAGCCGCGGATTTTTTTCTGTGCGAAATTCGCGTCGATATCGATTTCCCCGTGTAAGAGTTAGGATAGTCGTAGACGACTACAAAGGAGAGCGAAGACGCATCTAGTGGAATGCGATGCGATCGATCTCGCATGAGCAGAAATAAAAAGAATGTATCGAGGCTCGAGAGGGATCCTTCTCGAATGTTTGTTTTACGTCACCGATAAATATGTATTCGTGTCGGGACGCTGGAGAG